AGTTACGGCTGGCCGAAATTCTCAAGAGAGAAAGGAAGGAAAAAATTTTTCTCTAAAAATTCCACATCGTGCATGTGATGGTGTTTGTGGAAATTCAAGTGCTTATTGTAACCCGTTTTTTTTCATGTGTGCCCACACACATCTCTTCATGGATTCTAGGAATTGCCGTGGAAGACATTGGTTTTCTAAACATAAAGATTGGAGCAAGGACTGTTCGTGGTCAAAGAACTCAAGTTATCATCCGAGTCGGCTTCCAGGTATTTTTCCTGATTGAGTTCTTGATATATATAAGTAAATGAGATTAATTTATTCGTGCATAAATTAATATAATCTATAGAGTATCTCAAAAGTTTTATGAAAATTTTTGTTATACACGATCCGCCTCTCCCCCGCACCACCGCGCTTCCGCATCCGAATTTGATTCGGGCAACCAACAATAAGTACATCCTTATCCATTCTAAACATTCTATAACTTCTAATTTCATGTCCGCCTAATAATTCTATTACCCACATGTTTCCAGTTTAAGTAGAGTTCATACAAGAATTTTTGTGAATACACTTATTATAATATTGTTCAATGATGTGTGCAGTAACACAAACAAGTTGTAAACTTAGCTGGGTAATATTATCAGACATCCCAGCTAATAATGAAGAAACCTACATGTAAACAATGTTCAAATGAAATAATAGAAAATATCAATGTCTGATGTATAAAAATAGAGTATAATATTCAATACAATGTATTCGAAAGCATGGAAAAACAACATTATGGTACATAATTAATGAAAGCCACACTAAAATATTACTCATAGTAAAGGAAGACTCAAGGGACACTCAAGGGAATTTAAGAGGATGATCCTAGGCCGTGCTCAAACTTAAGCCAGTTGAGCTGCAACTCAGGTCTTTTCAAAGCAAAAAATGACTCTATTTTAATCGTGTCTGCGCACAAGTGGACAGTAAAAAAATACAACTCGCTCCCACTCTCTAATCCAGGTAGAGATTCAAGGACTTCAACAAGTCGTGTCATGCTATAATCTGGTCCTTTACTTTGTGCAATGGATGATCCGGTACTAATAGTCTCCACTACGGTGACAAGGCGCTCAATTTGTTGAGACAATTTGGCCGCACTGCCTACTTTATCCTTGCCTTTCCCTCTTTTGAATTTCTTTTGTCCTTCATCTAGCTCGATTGGACGCTTCTTCTTAGGGTCCTGTGGCATTTCTCTTCTGATAGGTGCATCTGACGATCCACTACTCTCAAGTTGTTCAAGTGGAGATATCATTTCATTTGCTATTTTATCATCCTCACATGGTATCTGTCCAGATGCGGGTGTCCAAGCATACACCCCTGTGGCCACAGTATTAGTAAACATCCTATTCAACTTATCCTCAAACTCTGGTTCAATTCCCTGCGTGCGAAACTTCGCTGCGTTAGGATGAATCTGTAAAAATACTTTAATAAATTAACCCTGCCACACACTAAATGTACACACTATCAATAATGTGCAACTTCATTCGTATATTATTCGTATACCTGCAATTTATTATGCCACCATTCCTCAGATGCATCAATAGTGTTCTTTTTATTGTTCCAACCTAAACCGGTTTCCTTCCCAACAAGTTCCTTCCAAAGTTTCCAATCATTCTTCAAAGCATCCCACTTATTCTTCAATTGTGTTCTTTTATACACTCGTTTGGTTGCTTCGTTAAATTTTTGAATTACATTTTCCCATCCAACTTTGTCAAGATGTGTCCCAGGTCGGTGTCCACCTTCAACCTCTTTGATACACAAATCACAAAAAAGCTGTATTGCCTCGGTATCCCATATCGCTTTACCTTGTGCTGTACTACCCTCCATTTGAACAAATGATGACTGAAAGTGCTACCACCATTATAAACCCAACGCATATTTATAGATAATAAAAATAACTAAAGCAGCTTAAGGCTTTTTTAAGCAAATGATAATGAACAAATAGCTAACCAATATTTAACCACAAGAGTGTCAACCTCCATTCTTGCTAGTATTGCAATTGAATGGTAAAAACGAATAGAACGGTAAAAATGGCAAATGATCAAACAGTTTAAGCTGCAAATAAATAAGATAGATAAATCTAGATATCGTCCCTCGAGAAAGGGTGTTATCAAATACCAGTATTATAATTATATTATTTAGAAAGTCACAATGTTCAGAATTGCAATAAGTAACAATGACAAAAATTAATTGCTAATAACACAATTGAATAAACTTAATAAAATCAATGGTGAAGGTTCTAGAGTTTGGATTTCCTCAATTGGTTTCCAATGATTAATTGACAATGAACCGGCTTGGCATGCATGAATCAAACGAATCACAGTTTATTGCCTATATAACTCTATATAACTCTGTGTTTATATCTCTAATTTTAATGGCGATCTGTGTTTATATCTCTATATAACTAAAACCCCAAATTTATTGCCTTAATGGTCAGATATCATATTTCACTTTTCAGTTCTTCATACAATATCTCAAACATGTAAATAATGGCCATTCATTCACAAGAATCAGATCTAAGACAACAAATTGATATGCTGAAAATCAATCACACATTCATTGAATAATCAATCAAGGAATCCCAATTGAATCCATCCAAACCCTAGACAAGAGAACTAATTCCACATACTACTAATAAAGATCATGTCTAAATCATGAATAATAAATAAAATAGAAAAACAAAAACTAGGTTTTCAAATTCCAAGAAGAAGGATGAAAAATTGGTCATGTTCTTCTCTCTTACGGTTTTTTTTTTTATTTTTTTATTTCTTAATGTCTTTCGTTTTTTTTTTTAATTTCATTAACATCAGTTGCATTTCAGATGGTTGGTTCCTAATCTTGACCATTTCTTTTCCGTTCTCCCTGTTTCTTCAATGGCATTCATACTAACGGAGCCTATGCCCAGATGAACCAAAACACCAGAAACAATTCATATACATTATAGTAAAAAAACTGAAAAATTTGTCCTATAATCTCAGCTTTTGCAGAACCGTTTGTCATCGAGATATATTCAGCAATAAAGATCAACATAAGGAAAAGGGTAATGCAGCGATTAGCAATTTCAAGGAACTCAACAAAACAGATTCGGAGTAATCTGGAAAAAAAAATTTACGAGATCAAATGGCTATTGAAGAACAAAATTTTGTACAAAATCTGAAAACCCAAATCGACATTCGAAACCACCAACACCAAATCGACATTCAAAACCCAAATTTCATCAAGCCGTACCAAATCGACATTAAAAAAAAGTTCAATCGAGCACTTACAAATGCAGAGATTGCGAGCTCCAACCAGATCAGCCGGTCTCAGCCAGCGACGAACGGAGATTTTGGGGACTCCACCGCCGACAATCGCAGGAGATAAACGGAGAGAGGGAGTCCGAGAGAGAGAAGAAATATAAACGGAGGAAGAGAGCTTTGGCTAAGAGAGCGAGGTTGAGGCTGAGAGAGGCTGAGGGAGGGTGAGGCGAGAGAGCACGAGAGGAGGCTGAGAGGCTGAGGCGAGAGAGCACGAACGGAGGGAGAGGCTGAGAGTTTCAGGGAGGGGCTGAGGATGTGTGCACGAGGACGAGGAAGAGATGAGTTATTTTGGGAATAACCAAAATTTCATTAATGGCTGAGTTTGGATTCCCGCACAATCTGAAATCAGAAGCAGCAAGTGAGCTGCTTTTGATTTCAGATGAAAAATAGCTTCTGGCTTCTTTAAAAATCTATTTTTATGTGTTTACCAAACACATTTTTGAGCTTTAGCTGAAAAAAAGTGCTTTTGGCTTTCCAGAAGCATTACCAAACGGAGCATTTGTCTCATACTTTTTCCTTCATTTCCCTACGATCAAACACACCTTTAAACTATATTTTTACCTTTTAGAAAATTAGTTTTTGGTACCTTTAAATTATTTTTGAGACATAAAATGTTAAATTTATCATTTTTAATAATTCTTAATTTAGTTGATCTAAATTTACTCTTTATTAAACGTTCTAAAATACTTTATATAGCTATAACCAAACACCCTTTTTGCCTTTAAAAATCATAAAAGAGTAAATTTATTTGATGTAAAAATAATATTTATTTTATTTGATGTAAATATAATATTTTATTAATAATTACGATATCTATGCCGAGTATATCACTAAATATTGTATTTGCATCGGATAAATAAATATTTATTAGTAAATACGTTTCAAATTAAATGTTTTTTTGATAACTTAAATATTTATTAGTAAATAGCTTCAAATTAAATATTTTTTTGATAATAGATAAATTAAATATTTATTGGTAAATACACTTCAATTGCTTCAAAATAATACTATTTATTTTCAATAAAACAACTTAAGAAAAGATAAGATAACAGTTTCTAATAAGATCCGATTGAAATCACGCTCAATTTAAAATGTATACAGAATAACATATATGATCTAAGGGTGAAAATAATATTTTTTTAGGCCTCGCCACAGATTTGAGTTTTTAATTCGAATTAAGATGTGATATTTTCTGAGAACTTTTAAATATAGCAAAAAAAGTGAGATGTGATATTTTTTGAGAGCTTTTAACTGTAAAAATTTAGGGCCCGTTTAGTTCGCTGATTCGAGTTTTTAATTCGAGTTGAGATGTGATTTTATGTGAGAGCTTTTTACTATAGCAAAAAAGTTAGATATGATTATTTCTGAGAGCTTTTTACTGTAGTAAAACTCGAATTCTAAACTCGAATCGGTGAAATGAACATGACCTAAAACTGAAAACTCAAATCGGTGAAATAAACAAAGCTTATTAGTTATTTTTTTGATACTTAAAAAATCTCTTTAATATGCGCACACACAAATATATATATATATATTTATGTCTGATTTAAATTTTTAATTTAAATTAAAATGTGACATGTGAGCTTTTAATTGTGATTTTTTATAAGAGGTTTTAACAGTATTAAAATTAAAATTGCAAAATTACATATGCTGAATAAATCGCTGAAATTTTAGAAAAACCAATTACTATCTCCCTCACTCCTTTTATCGAAACCCTAGCGCAGAGAACGGTTTCTCTCATCGTTCTGTGCTTTCTCATTCTTTCTCATCGTTCCCTCTCGCCGTCGCGGGGTAAGCCATTTTCTTACTCCATTAAGCCTTTCCTTTTTTTTTTTTTTTTTTTTCTAAATCTTTTCACGCGAACATTATTTTTCGTTTGCGGCCTTTTTTAATTTTGTCGATCTTTTCCTCTATTTAGTGCGTAAATTGCGTTTTGAGTTTGAGGTTGCTAGCGATTCTACTAGTTGGAGCCGTCAATTGGGTTTTCGAAGCCTAGTTTTGATTCGATGTGGCGGTTAGAGTTGGGGTTAGGTTAGGGTTTTGATAAGGATAATCTGGGTTGATTAAGAGGTTTTCTATTTATGTATTTCAATGTTTTTTTTGGTCTATCTCTGTTTTCTCAATTCTTGGGTTTGTGATCCCAAATGCTTGTGCAGTAGATTGTTTGGTAGCTGGGAAAATTGAGGGAGAAAGGATTAGTTAAATCTGATTGTTTTCTGTTCAGAAAAAAAATAAAAAATTTATTGTTTTCCTATTTCTTCTTTTTCTTTCCGTTCAGCAGAAAGAAAAAAAAAAAAAAGAAAGAGAAACGAAAAGAAAGTCTGATTGTCGGAAGAGTTTTCCTACTTGCTTTATTCCATGCTTCTGTAGGTTGCCAAACAATTGGTAAAACTAATCTTTTGTGAATAACGGACTCATTGTTTTAACTTTTTTTTCCTTTATGGCTTTAATTGTTTAACTTTCAATTATTATTATTATTTTTGGGTAATGGAATGGTTCTCATAGTTCAGAATGGTTCTCATAGTTCATTTTAGTGCGTAGAACTACTTTTCATCTGCATTGTATTGTTGATTTTGAGATGCTAATATGGTAGGAGTTAAATCCATGCTAACTAGTTTGTAATTTTGTAGGTAAAAAAGAAGAGAGGCAATTTAAGCCTCTTTTTTCGTTGAAAGGAAAAATGATGAGCACGGGGCCAATCTTACCTCTTCCTGCTCCTCCTTCTGATGGAAACCTCGGTCCACTTCCGCTGTCTCAAGTGCCTGAGCAGCAAAAGGATGAAAAGCCAATTGAGGAACAGAATCAAACCAACTCAGCTCCTGCTTCTGTCGCGACTCACACTAGAACAATTGGAATAATACATCCTCCTCCAGACATCAGAGGCATTGTAGATAAAACTGCAACATTCGTTGCCAAGAATGGGCCTGAATTTGAGAAAAGGATTATAGCAAACAATACTGGTAATGCAAAGTTTAATTTCCTGATTCCTTCCGATCCATACCATGCATATTACCAGCATCGATTGTCTGAATGTCGTGCCAATCAGTCATCTTCACAGCAGCCGTCTGGACAGCCTTCTGACCCTAATGAACCTGAGTCTTCTCCACTAGCTCTAGCTGCCAATGGCAATGAATTAATTGCACCAAAGCCTGACCCATCTGCCCAGTTCAAACCTGTGCGTAAAGTCCTCGAGCCCCCAGAAGCTGAGCAGTATACGGTCCGGCTTCCTGAAGGAATTACTGGGGAAGAACTGGACATTATTAAGCTTACAGCCCAGTTTGTAGCTCGAAACGGGAAATCGTTTTTGACAGGATTGACTAGTAGGGAGATCAATAACCCCCAGTTCCATTTTCTGAAGCCTACTCATAGTATGTTCATGTTTTTTACTTCACTGGCAGATGCATATTCAAAAGTGTTGATGCCTCCAAAGGGCTTGACAGAGAAGCTTAAGAATAGTGTTTCTGACATGACAACAGTGCTTGAACGATGTTCGAATCGGCAACTATGGGAGCAGTCACAGGAGGAGGCTAGGGCAAAAGCTGAGAATGAAATTGAGCAGGAAAGAATACAAATGGCCATGATAGATTGGCATGACTTTGTTGTAGTTGAGACAATAGACTTTGCCGATGATGAGGATGAGGACTTACCCCCTCCTATGACTCAGGAGGAGGTTATTCGGAGGAGTAAGATTTCAGCTGTAGAAGAAGAGATTGTTGAGCCCAGCAAAGAGGTAGAAATGGAAATGGACGAGGAGGAGATGCAACTTGTTGAGGAGGGCATGAAATTAGCTAGACTTGATGAGAATGATGAAGAAAGGAAAAATGAGATAAGGGTGTCGGAGGAACCTGAACCACCAATGAGAATCGTTAAGAACTGGAAGAGGCCTGAGGAAAGGATGCCTGCTGAAAGAGACCCAACGAAATATGTTGTTTCTCCAATCACTGGTGAGCTGATTCCAATTAGTGAAATGTCTGAACACATGCGGATTTCTCTCATCGATCCCAAGTTCAAAGAGCAAAAGGAGAGGATGTTTGCTAAGATTCGAGAGACTACTTTGGCTCAGGATGATGAGATTTCTAGAAATATTGTTGGACTTGCACGAACCCGTCCTGATATCTTTGGTACCACGGAAGAAGAAGTCTCCAATGCTGTCAAGGCTGAGATAGAAAAGAAAAAAGATGAACAACCAAAGCAGGTAATTTGGGATGGTCACACAGGAAGCATTGGGCGAACAGCGAACCAAGCTCTGTCGCAAAATCTCATTGGAGAGGATCAGAATGATGCCGCTAATAATGATTTTAGAACACTTCATGGTCCAGCTGCTCCTCCTCCTAGACCTGGTGTGCCATCCATTCGTCCTCTTCCGCCACCCCCTGGACTTGCTTTAAATCTTCCTCGTATGCTTCCTCCGAACACAGCTCAGTATTCTGCCCCAACTAGTGGTGGGCTCCCTGTACCTCCACCCAGACCCCAAGTGGTCCAAATGATTCCACCTGTTCGTCCTCCTCTACCACCAATGCCCATGAGTTCTGGACAACAATCCTTTTTGGTGAACCGACCACACGCAATGCCTCCATCAATTTCAGGGACTCCTCAAACTGGCCCTGTACCACCCCCTCCAGGATCTCAGTTCACACACTTACCGCTTTCCCGTCCTTATGCTCCTCTTCATGTTCCCCCTCCTACAATGCATATGATGCCCCCACCACCTTTGCCTCAAGGAATGCCTCCACCACCACCTGAGGAAGCTCCTCCACCGCTTCCAGAGGAACCGGAGCCAAAGAGGCAAAAGCTTGATGATTTGTTGCTTGTTCCGGAAGATCAGTTTTTGGCCCGGCATTCGGTACAGTATTTTCTTCATTTGCTTCCTTTCTTAGCTTTAAAATATTTAGCATTTAATGATAACCGTTATATGGTTTTATGACTGAGATTTTATTATTTTGCAGGGACCTGTTCGCATTACTATTTCTGTTCCAAATGTTGACGAAGGAAATCTTAAGGGGCAACTTCTGGAAATCACAGTGCAGTCTTTATCTGAAACTGTCGGGAGTTTAAAGGAGAAAATAGCTGGGGAAATCCAGCTTCCTGCAAACAAACAGAAATTGAGTGGAAAACCTGGTTTTCTCAAGGACAATATATCACTTGCATACTACAATGTCGGAGCCGGGGAAACTCTCTCTCTTTCACTAAGAGAACGTGGTGGTAGAAAGAGATGAATACATTCATGAACGGGGAAACTCTCACTCGCATAAGGTTGTTGGAATTTTCTTGCTATATGAAAACATATGCCTTGTGTTAATTTGTGGATCTGATATTTGACCTTTGTCGCTGGGGATTTTATGTTTTCATTTATTTTCAGAATAATATTTTGTATTCTTTACTTTTTAACTGATGGCGAGACTGCTCTAATACAGATCCAGCACCCAGGGATGTCTCTTACAGGCAATGGGAAGTACGCATGTTCCTTCTACCTTGCAGAGCAATTAGGCAACTCTTTTTACTAATTATCATATTTCCTTGTGCAGTTGTTCGCAGTTACTTCCCTGGCCAATTTATATTCCATATAGTTGTATGACAATCCATAAACATCATTATTAAAAATGTCGGTGTTGCGAGAACTATAAAACTTTCGGGTTATTTTACTCTTTTTCTGCTAGTTTTCTTGCTGATAGTTTCTTTGGTGTTGATTTGTTTTTTTGGGCCCCTTTGTTAGCATTTAAATTTCATTTTGTAGGAAGCATGCTCATCCTGGACCGGGTGGACTGGTGGGTGAGTTTGAGCATCAGTAGAATCGGTTTGTTTTTTCCTCAGCTCAAGTGTCCTAAAAATCCCCCTGCTAGCTAATTTGGTTCTCAAGTTTTCCTTCAGAGCCAGCATTTTTGTGGCTGCTGCTAGAGTTTAGTGCTATCTAATTTTGTTGTTTTCTTAACCACAGAAAGCTACTACTTTGTTGGGACTCATGGAAAGGTCTCAGACCTGTTTGAAACTTGAATGTGTCATTATATATCTGACGCAGGTAGGATGGTTCTTCATGTTTTAACCTTTTAAATGCTGTAAATCTTTGCTGCCCTTTTTTTAAAAAATAAAAATAAAAAAGAATAATAAATAAAAAATAAAAAATTTAATCCTCGGTTTATAACTCCAATGTCGGTCCTTTATGCTTCGTTTGGTTGAAAGATTCGTTTTTAATTTTGAATCATAGTTCTTAATTTTCTACAGTGTTTTCTCTCACAAAAATTTTAAATTTTAAAAATTAAAATCATGAATTATGGTTCTGATTCCCAACCAAATTCCACTTAAACATGCCTTTTTCCCGTCGTGGTGCAGTTGAATCGTGTTGTGATCGCAGTTTCATATTGGAGCGGCAGGAATTCACTTCATTAGGATTTGTAGAGCTATGTTACTATAAATACAATGTTGATATTCGGAAATTTTGAAAATGTCGTTAACAGTTTATGCAGAAAAGTCTTTTTTTTTTTTTCATTGAAATCCGGTTTAGCAAATTGATATTTTTATCATTACAAATGCGAGAATTTTCTCCTGTCATACAGGAAAAAAAAAGCTCATATAGATATGACAAAAACTGCACAATACTAATGGCACTTTTTATTATTACTAGTAAGAAGAGGCACGTGCTATAGCCCGTGCCCTTGTCTTTGAATGACAGTCTATGTATGTATGTTGCGTTGTATATTTTGTTCAATTATATGATTTTTACTACTATTATAGCTTAGTGATTTTTTAGCTAAAGGTAAATTATTAAGTTTTACCTATTTTCATTTAATATTTTTTCGGGAAGTCTTCATTTTGATTTAAGGGTAATTGGCACTGTTGGTTTTTAAACTCTTTAGCAGGTGACACTATGATTATTCTTTTATTAAATTTGACAAAATAACCCTCTTCTTTTATTAATTTTGACAAAATAACCCTCAAACTCTTAAGAAGTGACAATTATGCCGTTTCCGTCTAAAATCGTCAACTTTAACAGAAATGATCATGTGCGGTGCACGTGATCTAATTCAGGAGGGTATTTTAGTAAAATAAAAAAAGTTTATACTTTTTAATAAAAATATGAATGAAAATTAAAAAGGAAAAAAAAAGGGAGAAAAACATGTCTATAAGAAAATAATGATACCCAAACCCAGAGACACAATTCCAGAAAAAATCAATAAATTAATTAGATTCTCCAATGTAAACTTTGATCAAGGTCATATCTTCACATCTATACTTCTTAAACAACAAAAAAACATAGATTTAGAGAAGGAAAAATAAAGAGCAGATGGGGCAAAAGAAAATCAAATGATTCCCCATTGCAAAGAAGACGTATGGATTGAATTCCATTTGTATATACTCATCAAAGTGGAAATAAAAAAAAAACAAAAACGATTGCCCATGTGAATTTATTACTACAATCTCAAATCCATGCATTCACAAGAAACATTCAAGATGTTACTGATAACCAAAGCCAAAAGGCAAAATACAAAAAAATAATTATAGAAATCTTGGCGATTACGGGTGACGCTTTCTATGGGGACTACTCTCGGCGGGCAGGTCGGTGAGGAGGGAACTAGGCGACGGGGAGGTGGGACGGTCGCGCGGCGGATCTGGGCTTGTGGCGATGCGGGTTCGACGGGTATATATGTGCTGGTGGTGGTGCGAATGCGATAGTGATGGCTTGAGGGGGCGAGGGCTCGGCGGCGGATCCGACAAAGTTCGGCTTCGTCAAGCCCATCCACTCAGCACCTCATTGGCTAGATCTACCCATTCTTTTCCCCAGCTCCGCCGCTCCTTCGACGGTATTTGTCGGTGCTCATTTCCTCGCACCGGCCAGACAACCAACTCCTCGCCCAAGCGCCGTCCCAAATTCCCTCTCTCGTCGTCGGCGTTTCACTCTTCACCCCAGCGGATCCATAGCTCTGGTATTTCTTTATGCAACAAAAGGTTGCTATGCAGAGATGAAATCGTCAAAAGTGCAATCTTGTAAACGATGAAGTTAAGACAGAATGCTTACAAATGGCGGATCATTTTGGTGTGCAAACGAGCTTTGTTTTTTGGTTTGGCTCACGAAACAGAGATTCGTAAAGATAATTCAGAATGTAGAGATGGTGAATCATCTGGGTTTAGCTCTCGAACTTCTTTATTTTCTTTTTTTTTTCTTAAGTTATAAGGGAGGGTATTTTAGTCTTTTCAATGTAAAAAATACAATTGAATGGCACGTGTATAAAACCGGTGTTTGGTTCGTGTTATGATTTGAATCATGATTCGTAACTCACAACAGTATTTTCTCTCATAAACTAAACTAAACGTAGACTAAACGTCCACTTAAATACTGACGGTTTTGGATGGAAATAGTTTTAATTTCTAAGATTTGAAGAGTTTGAGAGTTGTCTTGTTAAAATTAAAAAAAGGAACTAAAGTGTCATTTGAGTACGTTTGGTTGGAAGATTTAAACCATGTGATTCGAACCATTTTCAATTTACGTGAATTTTTTATGGGAGAAAATACTGTAGCGAACCACGAATCATAATTTGAATCAGTGAACAAATCCCTCCACCAAACATACTAATTTAAGGACTAATGGTGGTCTTACATAACAAAGTGAGTCTTATAATTCTACAATTGCATCATTATATAACAAAGTGAGTCTTATATTGATTTAATGAAACAAATAATTCTTTCAACTTTCCTCCGATGTCTATGAGTAGACATTTTGCGAAATATTTGATTTAACGTAAATTCAACATAGCAATTAATAAAAACATGCGAAAAAAGTACATAAGACTTTCAAAAAAAAAGTACATGAAAGTTTTTTTTTCTTTTTTTTTTTTTAAATAAGAAACTGCAAAACGATCAAAATTCAATTTATATTTCTAGATAAATATGACTTTTATAAACATATTTTATTTCCATTTATTCTTCCATCATTTATGGATAAAAAAAATTACAACTAATTATTTAACAGAAGAGATTTTTTTTTATTAGTACAAGGGTGACTTTAACAATGTAGAGATAGCTAATTTATTGTTTATGATGCTCTATTAATTCATTGCGTCAACTTTGTACTAACAATTTCTAATTTTATTGTGATTAAAAATAAGTCTTAAGAAGGTGTTTATTTTTTGCCATCTTATCTTCTGTAGTTCATTAGTTATTTTATAGGGAAAATTTATATTACTTTTTGGAATACACTAAAATGCTTTAACGAAATGAGAAAAAAAAAAAAGAGAAAAAAAAAACTCCACATGAATGTCTTCTAGTGTCTGCAAAGCCTTGTTCCATTCTTATTATTTCAATTGATTTTGTTTGTTTTTAAGGGAAAAAAAATTGTTTGTTTGTTCTTTTGCGAAGTTGGATTTACGACATATATGAGAAGCTTAATGATATTAATTTGTTTAGGAAGCCGTTTGGCATTTCTTGTAAAATAAAAATAAATTTTTTAAAAAAAAAAGTAAAAAGCACGAAAACCAAGAAACATAACCGACAATAAAAGAATAAAAAGCATGATTAAAGAGCGTAAAATTTAAATTTAAAAATAAACAGACAAGTTAATTAACACCTACCTGCTTATTATCTCTTTTTATATGTCTATAGGATTTCATAAGGTACTATAAGTTTTTTTTTGTTATGTTTTTAATAAAAATGGAGAATTCTACAATGGGACTTGTAATAATTTAAATTAGACGGTGTTTATCAATTGTTTGCAATTACATCCTAACATCTACCCCTTATAATATGCACGGTCTCATTTAAATATTTCAGTCGCGATCAATAGTCCAATGAGATCTTACAGTCGGGGAATCTTCCGAAAAAAAAGAAAGAATAGGTATAAAACAGTAATTTACAATGAAAAGATAAGGTTCCTCTCGTGCAAATTCACCAGTCACATCTTAGGCTTTACCAAAATGTTCCTACTCTAGAATTGCTCAATATTCGCTTGATATTTGAGAAATCAAATTAAGACGGGAAAGAATCACATGATGGAACAATTGCTCTTTTAAAACTTAATTCACAAGCAAAAAGAAACATTATCGTTTTATTATTAATTTACTTTTGAAGGATCTTCCTTACTCCCTCGAAAAATTGTTCTATCTTTTCCTCATTCTAACTGAATAAAACCATATGCTACAGCTTAAATAAAGCACGCAACATTATCCAGTATAAGTTACACAGTGAAAGGCTTATATGCCATGTTTGTCGAAAACATAAATTCAAAAATAATAATTATAACAAGAGACATATTGAGAAGAGTGTGTGATAATATGTTACATAACATGTATACGCCTTTCATTTCTCGTGTCTCTTCTTCTGAAAATTTGGTAAATATCTTGACAAAGAATAAGGACATCCGAAGAAACGCGACAGATTCTGGCAACCTTTCTCTCCAACATTGTCGTTGCCGCGCGAACTTAGAAGACTCAAGTATGTTTTTCCCTCGTAAATATAACGGAGCTGCTGCCATAGAAGTACGCTCAACCCGAGCCCCACCGAAACACTCGAAATGAAAAGATATACAAGAACAATGCCTCTAGCAGATAGAAGCACTGCAGATCTTAACAAGGCAAATATGACCTCTTTGAGAGCTGTTAAAGCCATACTCATGCTATGCCCATTCATGCGGCTTAAAGATCTATATGATAATGGTGGCCAGACATGCAGACCTACATATGTAGACATGAACGAGACGTAAATTGTACTGATGACAGCTGAAATGAGGAACATGATGAAGTGCCAGTGGTTCGCTGCACCAACACAGTTCCCAATCTGCACAAACGTTATAAGCAAGAGATTATCAGTTCATGAGAAAGCATATAAAGTGAAATGAAGCTTTGTTGCAAATGTTTGACAATTTGTTATTACCAGTAAGTTCAGTTGCACCCAGTGGCCAAGCCAAAATTTATTTCAATGTGTGTGCGTGATGGCGGGGGAACATAAACCTTAAAAAATGTTAAAAACCCTCAAACAATAAACTCTAAACTATTAATTAGTTTGAAGACGTGTTATGCACATGCGTTTTTAGTTTACTGAATTTGTTGATACGTGAATATAAAATTTTCTGAAGAGGCTAGTTATTTAGTGTTTACTTTAGTAAAAGAAAAAAATATATAAGTACAATGACTGAAAATGCATGATCTAATCAAAACGTGTTTTTAGTTGAATATCATAAATGTACAGACAAGTTGAATACATTTCAGTAATAAAGATTTAGAGGAAGAATTAGATAGAGTATGAACAAGTAAATAATTGTTGAGAATTCCACAAGAAACAAAAAAAATATATATTTAAGTATGGACAAATTTGAAAATAAATATTACTTCAATGAGGGCAAACAAGAGAAAAAGTATATAACAATTAAAAAAAAAATGCTAAGTAAGGACACATTTGAGAACAATTATCTTAATGGGTCATTGAGATTAAGGATTTTTAAGATCACTTTTGATATAACAAAGACTACATGAAATTAGATTTAATGGAGACATATTTGAAATCTTTGCTAAATAAGAGGTGGGTGGGGGGTTGGTTTAAAAGATCTTGAAAATCCAGGGAGGTGGGGGGGCTTAAAAGATCTTGAAAATCCAGGGGGGCAAAACCCTAGGCCTTACCTCCCCCTGCCCCTGCCTCCACCACCTTACGTCAAATCAACTTTCATCTTTACCACGTTTCATTCATTAAGAACAAGCAAAAGTTTTTAAAAAATAATCCGCACCAAGTTACGATGTACGACAACTTATAGATTCCCCTCATTCTTGTGGCTTTAAATTTTGGTTTATTTTAGCTACTCTTCCAAGTCTTGGGCTTAAACCATCCAGTGACCAGTCTCCTATTAGTGGTCATGGTAACAATACTAATAAACAAAAACCCTGCTAGCTTACATTAGCTAATGACAAACTTGTTCTAAGTTTTATGACCCCTGCAGGACTAATTAAAGCACTTTTAACAAAATTTTAACAGCAATAATATCCTAATAGTTTAATCTTGATTCTTTCCAGCCGTTTCTAAATTAATAATTCTATCACCAGTGAAGAGTTAATTGCTAATATGTCCAAGACAGATGGTGTTCCTTACATCTCAGTCTCAACATGTTTTAAAGTTGAGGAGTGAACACTTACAAATGGACAGTGATGATCCATGTCTAGTATACACTTTCCACACGAACGACAATGATGAGCTCTAGGTGACTTTGGTTTTGAGCAGTAAAGGCAGAATGTATAGTTCTCGAGGTGACCTTTCCCCACAGTTGGGTAGCTTCCCCATGACACGCTTGGAGGTGTGCCAGCACAGCCAAATGCGGCAGAAAATAATGTATAAATAGTAGCTACAGATAGGATCAAGGTGACGGTGGAATGGAATATCCCACAGTAGTAGCTGATGGAGAAAACAACCTGGTATACTGCCCACACTCCACCACCTGCACTTCCAGGAAAATATACCAAGATATAACAGCAGAAACAAGGAATGCAGCAATATGTAACTTTACTGGAAACCAAGTCCTCATGATCAAGATGTTCTTGGATAAATTAGCTCGGAATAACAAAAGAACAATAAAATTCTACATTTTGTTGTCCTTGGTACTAATTTATTTGTTACAAGCACAACATAAGCTTCCACAACCTGGTAAATTCCACAATAGGTATTATGTATTTCACATTGCAGGTTATGGATGTGAATATGCATCACGGGAGATTAACGAACCAGTAGCAAAACTAATTCTTATAAACTATAGCAAGGAAGATACAACCTGCTCAAGATATTAGAATCAAAGACCAAGAATAGAAAGGAAAAGAAATAAAAAGAATTGAATTCTCACCAGATGAATATGTCAATACACCTAGGGGAATGGGTGAACAAGGTGTTTATTGGACAAAAAGATCTTTATCCTATAAACTAATTTCTGACCAGAAAATTTTCTTTCCCAAGGAAATCAATGAACTCATACTGTCCAAACTATAAACACTGCATATTGAACAAATCTTTCACTAATGGAAAAATCAAACGATCATCCGGTAAATATTCAATTACATGCTATACAATTTCAAGATAATTTATTGCAAACATAGCATATGCTTTATAGGTGCTTCAGTTCTTTCTAGCTCGGAGGATTGCTTGTTCAGTTCTACTCTTTTCATTGTATAAAAGAACAATTCATCAAGAAGAATTTATTAAAGAAAAAAATGTCAAACGTTAAAAAGGAAAGGAAATGGAAAATAACTCAAGTGACATTTACAAGGAAAAACTGCAAGAATAAAACACGAAAAATGAGGAGTATTAGTAATGTAGTAATGAAGTTACAACTACGTACATATAACAAATACCATATACGCGAGGAGTACGCTAACGAAGAAACGATCTCGCAATCGTCTCAACCAGAAGTGCTTGCATTCACGCTTCTGCGCATTTTGGTTTGTCACGGCTCCACACCAACCACACTTGAAAATAGGCGCGTGAGACGGAATCAGAAGCCGCAACCCACAACCCCAACAAATCACGTCATAGTTCTCATTGTTTAACGTTACAAAATGCTCCTACATGTAAACCCTTAACATGAGCATCACGGGAAAGAAAAACTTTTGCAACTAAATAAGCAACCAAAAATATATGCACACAAACATTCTGTAACAATACCCAAAATCCAAACTCATCTAAATTAGCCAAGCAATATAAACTTTTCGTTGACTATCCATCCAAATTAATGATATTTAATCTCAAACACAACCAAGGAAAAAAAAAAACAATATGCTTTTACTGGAAAAAAAATAATCCGGAAAATTTGGTTTCTTGAGTTTTTTTAGCCTATTAAACAGCTAAAACAAGATCAGTCATTTACAAATAAATATAGAGAAAACATAGTCACTGACATAATTAAATCATCAGAATAAATTAAAAAAATTTAAAATCATGGCTATTTAAATACCAAAGAGTGATGATGAACAGAAAAACAACAAGAATCAAAATCAGAAACAGAGAGACAGCCAGTATATAACACAACAAGATGGAAACGAACCGCCAATCAGAAATTCCAAAAGTCAACGAATCACACACAAAACAAGAGCTAATCAGACAAGATAGAGAAACTGGGAAAAGAAAAACCAAACCTCCGGCAAGTCCGCCATCTTTGGGTTCGTATTTTTAGGAGCGGAGGTAGCAGTTGAGCATATAGCACCATTCTAGAAGTGGGTTTCCATTGGAAAGGACCAAAGACGAAGAACCACAGAAAGATTGGTTCAAGTTTAACCCGGATTCATTTATCGATCTTAAAAATATAAAATAAAATAAAATAATTTAACTCGGACTGAAGCCGTGACTAGGAAGTCAAAGTAAAACTTGAGTTGTTTGTTCATAGAAAAAAAAAATTGCACTAATGCAATATATATATATATATATATTTTACATAATACATCTCAAACATTTAATTTTAATAAATTATACTTCAAATTTTAAAATGATAGCAATTAAATTCTAATAGCTAGTAGATATTATCAAATTAATGGTTTAAAATATGAAATTCTTTCATGAACCTGGTTTAAAAAATGACAAGCTTTGCTATTTGGTTCGTGAATTGTATTCCTATATTTGAGGATTATTGAATTGTGGATAATTTCTCAAAAAGTTGTTTTGCTTCTAATTCTTAAAAAAAAAAAATCTAAATGATATGCTTGGGAAGATAAAATAGAGGCTTAAAAACAAGAAATTTGAGGCCTTAGGCACTGTCTTGACCTGTCTTGGAGTTAAGCCGGTACTGAGCTAAGTTGGTGATGACATGCCGTGACAATTTTTAAATTTTTTTTTTTTTGGTATAAATCAATACAAATATTTATTTTCTGTATTCGTTCCTGATTTTAAATCATAATTTATAATTTTTTACATTGATTTTATTTCACAAAAAACACACATAAAATAAGAATAATTATGAATCATAATTCTGAATATATGAATCAAACGTCTACTAAAATTTGTGGTACTCCTATAAAGAGCCCATCCTTACTCTATTTGTTATTGATATCTCATAAAAGAAAATGACTACTAAATTTACTCGTACACCCTTAATAAGTTCACGTGCCTTAGGCCAATAAGTCAATAATTATTTAATTATATTAAATATATATTTTAGTGAATTACATTGTTATCATTTTCTTTTTATTATCATAAACACTAAAAAGAGAATGAAATTATTTTGCATTATATCATTAAATATAAAAGTAAAGATTGAAAACGGATCAATTATCATTCTTTACTTTTCTTTTCACTCCAATTACTTTCATCTCACATTCTTTTACAGTTTAATAAATATTAGGGATCAACTCCTATTATTTTCATCTTATATTCTTTTACGGTTTAGTAAATATTAGAAGTGTAAATTCGGACTGTCCGGTCTGTGCAAATGAGTAAAAGGTTTGACCAATTGCCTCTCAACATTTTATAAAAAAAATAAAAAAGCAGGCCAAATTAGACTTTAAGTCTATAACTTTAGTTCAACCTAAAAACTCAGAGCGTTAAAAGAGTTTGGCTTGACTCAAATAGACATGTTATAATAAATTCAGAGGTGAATTAAATATTATGAGGAAAAAAAAGAAAAAAATATTAGTTTTTCATAATTTTGTACAAATTTATTATTTATATATTTTAAATAATTAAATACCAACATAATTTTTTACTTTTTCTTGATTAATTAAATAATAATTATTTATTTCTGACTGTTGTGACATAAATAATATTTTTTTAAAAGTGGTTTTTCATTTAAAAAAAAAACAAGTTAATTGAATATCGATGTCATTAAAATGAGAAAATAACCATCGTAACTCTCCCTCCCTTCTTATTTATCCCAAATCCGTCGTCCTTCCCGACATTGATAAGCGTATCCCGGAGTTTCTGAATCTCGCCCAACACGAAGCCGCTCCGATGGGTTGTTTGGTTGAAGGTCGGCCATTTCTGCTATGATATTTAACAATAATCATTTCTCTATTTTGGACTGTAATAGAAAGAGAGAGATTCAGTAAACTGATTTAATAATGAAGCCAGAATTTGTGCTCCTCGTTTGTTGCTGTATATGCCTCGCCGCATCACCAGCCGTCCGTTCGCAATCGGACGGCGTCGTCGGAGAATGGCAGCTCCTCACCAAGCTTAACTTCTCTTCTCAGATCAGACTCCATCCCCATATCCTCCTCATCGTCACTCTTCCCTGTATGTATTTCTCTCTCCCACTGTTTTCAACTTTCATTGCTAATCTATCACTGATTTTCAATGTTGTTAGCTATTTGTTACGCAAATTCGCTTCCAATTTCATCCTCAGCGAAGGTTTCTTCGGAATTAGTTAATTTTCAATTGAATTAACACTGTTTTCTTTTGGCTTTGAACCAAAGGAAAAAAAATCAGAGTCAAAAAGTTTTTTGTTTTGTTTTTTTAAGTGTGATTTAGCGCTATCATGTAATTGCACTTTTATTCAAAATGAACCTAGATTATTGGAATAACCCTCAACTTATTTTGCTTATTTCTAGATGGTAGTTTTAGTCATTTTCTTTCTATGGATTTATCACGAAGAAATGCTTAATGATAATGACACTGTTGACAACAACATTATTGTTGAGAACTGAGAAGTAGTAAGAGGATGATGGAAATGGAAGGGTTTTTTTTTTTGTCCACCTAGTTTTTTAGAGATATTCCTATGTTTATACGTATATATGTCTCTAAATGCTTAACTTCATTATGTTTGTGTCAAAAACGGGTTATTAGTGTTCTTGTTCCCCTACTGTTTAAAAGTTATAGCTTTAGATGTTTTTTTACTGATAATTTATTTGATGGTGGTTTGGATGCCCAGGGTCTGGCGAATCTCGATCACTCATGAGAGAAGTGTCAAGTTTTGTCACGAATAGACACGAAGAGTTTAGCTCCCTAAAATTAATGTTTATGTATAGAAATAGAGAGAAAATGCTAGCGGATGCTATTGGTGCTATGGCCAACGAAATCACTATTTTATACTACCACCATTCTATATCTTACAAGTACCGAGGAAGGCTTCGGGCACAAAACATTTTATTTTCGATTTATCCACAGATGTCGGTTTTTCCTGAAGAGCTGCCTCTCAAATCCCTGAGTACTCCAGCAGAATTGAAGACATTCTTGGATTCAACTGACAAGGCATTCCTTGTCCTTGAATTTTGTGGATGGACTCCTAAGTTGCTGGCCAAGGGGAAGAAGAATGTTACTGTGAATGGTTTTGGTGGGCAAGGTTGGTTGGAAGTTTCTTGGAAACCTACACATCTAATCTTTATTCCTCCTTTACCAGTCCAATAATGCATGTTTAATTTAATATTTGTTGTATCATGTATGCTTGTCTTGGAGTTTACTATGATTTTGGTCGTTAATTAATTTCATGCCATCTTAAATTTAACATTGACCTAGGACACATTGAAGTTCTGCCACTCTCCAAATGTTTATATAGGGCGGAATAAAAGCATTAGTTGGATGGATATTTGCTTGAAATAATATTTTTGTAATTAGTAATGATAGTAACCTGGTACTAACATTTAGCTGTCATGCGAATATTCAAATGTACTCTAAGGCATTACTAAGTGAATGTCGACTTGCACACAAATGCCATGGTTGTTTTTTCATCCTATCACTTGTACGTTGTGCGCAGCTGTTCGAACAGTAGTCTTTAAATGCATTTGCTATCACTATAAATGTTTAGATGGGTAGTCTTTCTTATACTGCATTTCAAACAATGTACACGGATTGCAGTCGGGAGTGAGTTCATGTTCCTTTTTATGACTCTAGTCAGAGGTGAACGTCACTCTAAACCTTGTCATCTATCTTTCAATAATACTTCTCACAAACATATGACAATGGCTTTGTTTACCTAAGAAATCTAGGATCTAGATTAGGTTTTATGAGTTTTTAATTGGTGCGTTTACCAGTCATAATATTTAAAATTGCCTTTGGACTTTGCAGGATATCTTCTTGGAACAGACTTTCACGGAGTGACAAACAGAAGGTTGACATCCAAAGGGAAGAACATCCAGAAGGTGGCGGGTAGATTATAACTGCACATTGTTGTGAACTTGTTTCTAAAAAAGATAGAATAGAATTTTATTGAAAGTTTGTCATTTTCCTTTTAAAAATGAAAACAGGGTGTGGAAAATGCAAAAGTGATGTGTGACATTGGTAATGGGTTTGACCGAGTTCCTTGGCATGTGGACTTCAACTCCGTAAATGACAGTTCTTTTGAGGAGACTGATAATGTCACGCCTGATGTGTTATCATCTTGTACATCTGAAGAATATCAGCGGTTTGATTCTTTTTTGTCAAAGTTCATGACACTTGCAAAAGATTTCTTTCTACCATCCGAAAGGTATAGATATGGTCTAGTCTCAGAAAGATCATTGCTTTCAACTCTTGGGATTGGAGAATCTAGTTCATGGTTGGCAGTGCTGCACTTTGCTGGATGCCCAAGTTGTTTGAAGATTATAGAGAAAGAGGATGACCTTAATGATGTCTTACAGATGGAAAATCCTGTTATTTCGGAGGTGGGTTTATTTCCTCTTTTCAGGTTTGCTATTTGTACTTTGTATCATTATGTTATCATGTATGCAACTGCAAATCGTATGCGGCTAAATCCCCAAGGCGTATGCTTAGCTCAGTCGCATGGATTAAATCACTAACAATAATTTTGGCCTAGATCGTTTTCATTGGTTTTGCATTCTAATAACAAGTTGGTCTACATGAGAATGCAAGTAACATATAAATTAAGCCCAATCATTTATTCCTCTTTTCCTTAAGAGAACTCTGCACATTTGATTTTTGGTGAGAAACTTCATTACATTATCTCATACGTTTATTATATTTTTTTAATCACTTGACTAGTTTATGCAACATATTTGTGCGGTTGTTAGGACTCTAAAATGGTTGCTATTATGATGTCATGGATCTAAGCAGCACACCCCTACAGTTGACATGACTAATATCTTTTGTTCTGGAGACTTCTGCTAACCACATGCAGTATTTTCTTTTCTTTTTCTTTTTCTTTTTTTTTAATTTTTAATTTTTAATGTTATTAATAATGATACGAGTTTCTTTACGGAGGAGAAATATTCTCTTATGGCAAATTTGGACAACATAAGAAATATGAGGTTATTGCTCTTTAGTCTTTAGTACTCAGTTTATCTTTTTCTTTCTTTTCTTTACAAATGTTCAATTCAAGAATATTTGTACCTAAAATACAATTTTTTGCGACCTCTGTGTGTGAGTGACGTCTTACCTTCTTCGAGCATAACTTTACATTCTTATATCAACTCTTACCTTTATCCTCCAAACATTTGGTAAAGTTTTGTAATAATGTAGTTTTCTCAGGTACAAATTGACACGTAGTGGTTTTGACTGAAAAAAAAAAGAAAAGAAAAATTAGCACATGCCACTTTGTGTTTTCAAGACCTTTTCATAGTTCAACACACAATGACAATGTTACATTTAATACTGCTTCAGCAAGTTTTTTGGTTCTAGAACTTTGAGGTAGAGTCCCACAGTTATTGTGTCTGTACTGTCTGGTTCTTCACCCACTATGAGAGCTCATTCCGTTTGTTTAATCCTGCTCTTATGAACATGATATTATCCAAGTTTCAGCCCCAAAGATCCTTGACACTATATTTATTTTCATGAAAATTAAATACTACTGAAAACCTTTGCTTATTTAAGATATGGTATTTTTTTCTAAAAATGATTTTTTTTCCCGACATTAACATGTTAAACAGTACATATGGCTGGTAAAATCTTTTAATGGTTTTCATATGTTAGTAATTGCATTGCATTTGTTAATCTTTCCCTTGATAAGAAGTGGAATCCATTGAAAGAGAGTAACAATACCTAAAACTTGAAGGAAATAGCATTAAAATACAGGAAAATAGATTGGAATGTCAACTAGATAATAAACAGGGACATAAGCAAGAATAAAAGAAATAGATAAGCAATCAATCATGTAAAGTAGGTTAGAAGGAGCTACTCTTCTACAAGAGAAAATTGTTGAACTTACCCTTAGTACTCATGGGTATGGATTTTTACCCTTGACACTTGATTCATATCCTTTTTACTAATATAGTTATTTGACAAAAAGGATATTAATTAAGAGTAAAAGGTATTTGTTTCCTTTTCCCTTTTTACAGTCAAAACGTCAATGTAATTTTTCACAACAAAAGGATGTATCTGATTGAAAGTTCTTTCAACTAAGAAAAAAGAGCAAGATTATTATGTTGTTTGAGTTGTATATGGCTTTTATTTTGTGTCTAGATATAGATGTGAAATTGGTTGGGCATGGATTTTTTTTTTCCAAGTTTGTCCATCATCTTTATTTTTGTTTTTCCTCCAGGCAGCAAAGTTTGTAGTCATGTGAGGTCTTAGCTTGGGTTTACTATAATTAGTAAAATAAGATACAGGCTTAAATGTTTCCCTGAAAACCTTTTAGTTGCGTTAAATGTACCATTAGACAACATGAACTTCTCAATCCAAAACTGCACTATCAATGTAATTTCAGACGAGGAGAACACAAATCCCTAGTCTTAAGTCATAGTGCCAGGAAGAAACAAATGGACAACTGATTTAGTAATATATTCCTGCATATGAGTAGAAAGACGCCAATCTTCACCATTTCAAATATCAGAATTTATTCATGGAATGTGTTCCATTTCTTGTTATGTTTGCACATCTTTCTTTACATGCATTCTAGTGGTCACCATTTATGCTAGTGTAGAAATTTCTTCGTGTGCATCATGCCTTGTTTATAGATTATTTTGCTGCTATTTTGCTTCTTGCCTTGCCTCGTTATGGCTGTACATGATTACTTTTCTCAAGCAGCTTTCCTATATCATATTATAGCTAAATTATCTGGCTGTGGGGACATCATAGGAAAATTATGATTTGTTATCCCCGTGTCTTTTGAAATCATGGCCTAAACTATTTTATTGTGCCGATTTCAGTGCCTTTTGCAGATTATTAAGCCACCTAGGGAGGCTTCATAGTTTCATACTTTAACTGTTTCTTGATCCTTTGCATCTATTTCTTGAGTCGTTAGTTTATTCTTAATTACTTTATGTAATTTCACGTATTACTATTCTTTTACCTAATCGTTACTGTTTTGTTGGTTCTATATTAACCATGAGTATCTTTTTTCATATTATTTAGCTTGAAGGTGATGGAAATGCTCTGGAGCCTGTTTTACTTGCTGATAGGCCATCCATACTCTTATTTGTAGATCGCTTATCTTACTCGGTGGAAACTAGAAGCAAGAGTAAGGAAGCTCTTGATGCCTTCCGGAAACTGGCGCTGCATATTTATAATTCATACGAGCTAGGTGAGCAAAATGGTAACATGACTGAGATATTGTTCCAAGATTATCAGGCATTCAGGAGTACATCTGGGCCTCCTAAATTAAAGTTGTCTCCAACAGCTCAGCTGATCAAATTTAAGGAAAAGATGTCTACCATCACGATTGTAAATGAGGGTAAACGAGTCACTTTGGATCAAATAAGTTCAGATCTCGAGGACAGTACCTTGCATGAGATATTGGCATATGTTCTTAAGAAAAAGAAGGAAGCGAAACTAAGTTCACTTGCAAAGGATTTGGGTTTCCAACTTTTATCTGATGATATTGACATTAAGTTGGTAAATAGGTTGCCATCACAGACAGAAACTCAGTCTGACTCAGTTTCACCAAAAGCATCCCAGGAAGATCTTGTTTCAAGGGATGTTGATTTGGACCAAGATCCATCACTGCATGGGGCAAGTGTATCCTACGAGGAGCTTCCAGCAACTTCCGAAATCATTGATGATCAACTAAAATCTCAGTATGATGTAGAGAAAATTGAATATGTGGATCGAAGTATACAGTCATTTGCAGAATCTGAACAATTTGCTTCCAACCATGAACTTGACATTGCTGGAGCTGTAAAAGTGAAAGAAACAAGTTCATTACAAGAGGACAAGTCAGAGGACCAACAGCTTCAATTTCCAGGCCTAAAGGGATCATTTTTATTTTCTGATGGTAATTATCGATTACTTCAAGCTTTGACTGGTGGATCTAAGATACCAGGCTTGGTAATAGTTGATCCTATTGTGGAGCAGCATTATGTCTTTTCGGGGAAGAATGATTTAAGCTATTCTTCAATGGCTGATTTCTTCACAAGGTTTCTCAACGGAAGTCTTCTTCCATATAAACAGTCTGAATCTGTTCTTCAGAACCCTGAGGAAGCTTTGCAACCACCATTTGTTAATGTGGATTTCCATGAGGCGGATTCCATCCCTCGTGTTACAAGTAGTAGTTTCTCTGAGATGGTTCTTGGATCAAATCAATCGGACTCTGATGCTTGGTACAAGGATGTGTTGGTCCTTTTTAGTAATAGATGGTGTGGTTTTTGCCAGAGAATGGAATTGATTGTTCGTGAACTATATCGGGCCACGAGAGGTTATATTAGCACAATCAAAAGTGGATCAGCTAATGTTGAAACAATGTTTCATGGTGGTAAGATCCTATTTCCAATAGTAATTGCTGTGAAAATGTATAATGCTTCTCGTGGAAGAATTCTGTAAACTAGTTTTGATTGCTTTTTTTAGAATTTATAAAGCACTCGCCACTTGAGTATCCTAGGCTGTTCAGTAGGGGGAAAAATTAACCTGGCCTTCCTTGATAAATTAGATCCTAGACCGTGAAAGCTAGGGCATAATTAGATGAATTTTCTTGATCTTGAACCAAATCTTAACTCTAGCATAGGAATCTTGTATTCTTGTTTTTTTCTTTTTTTCTCCCTCGTTATTATTCCTTTTCTCCTGAACTTCATGAAGTGCCAAAACCTTTGTCTGCATTTGAAAGAAGGTTATTCCAGTAAAGGGATGTTGGTAAAAATATCAAAAATTAGTTCTTTACGGTTTGTATAAGACATGTATATACACAGAGACAAGTATACATGAATATCTATCTCCTGATTTTGGTTGTCACGTACAAACATGCATATATATTCCAAGACGCTTCTGTTCTAAATTTTCACCACTGTTTTGTTCATTATTTTGAAAAACAAGTCACTACTTTTCCCAATTTTCACTATTCAGTTTTACATGTGGCAGAGAACTTGAAGGATGTAAAGCTGAAGCTTCCATTAATATATTTGCTGGATTGCACACTGAATGATTGTAGTTTGATACTGAGATCAATAAATCAGGTTTGCAGTTTTGGAATGCTCTCCTGTATAATGTTTGTAAAGCTTTGTTAAAATTTTCTACTATTTCTCATCTGTTCTATTGCAAATTGATTTTACGTGGTGACTGGGAGGTGCTCTCTCCATTCCCTTGTTCAGGAGAGGAATGTGGGGACTCTTAGGAATTGCATGTTAATGCTCTTGCACGAGGATTTCGTTTTGTGCAAGTTCTATTAAATACGTTTGTAATTTAGTTTTAGTGAAGAACAAAGAAGTACAACTCAATCAAGTCGTCTTTTGAACGTGATATTGTTGACATGGATCCTCGGCCTTGTGTCTGTGTGTGACCCCCATTTTCAAAACCGTTATGTGTACTCCTAAAAAGAATTAATAATGCAGTGTACCCCCATTTGCATAACCGTAATGTGTATTCAAAAAAAAAAAAAAAAAGCAGTGTACACCCATTTTCATAACCCTAATGTGTACTCCCAAAAAAAAAAAAAAAAAAAACCCAAATGCAGTGTACCCTCATTTTCATAACCATAATGTGTACTAAAGAAAATAAAAATAAATAATGCAGTGTACCCCCATTTTCATAACCGTAATGTGTACTCCAAAAAAGATAGTGCAGTGTGTGTGTGTTTACGTGTCCTAAACCCCCATTTTCATAAACCTAATGTGTACTCTAAAAAAATAATGCATTGTCCCTAACAAAAATAAATAAATAATGCATTGTTTGTGTCGGTCCTAAAACCCCCATTTTCATAACTGTAATGTGTACTCCAAAAAAATAATAATAATGCAGTGTGTGTATTTTCTGAACTCTCATTTTGATAACCATAATATGTATTTGTAATATGCATTTTCTATCATTCAACTGAATGTCTTCTTAGTTTTCTCGTGTTTGGTGTACTAAAAATTTGCAGACAGAAGTTTATCCTGCTCTGATGCTGTTTCCAGCAGAAAAGAAGAATTCTCTCCCTTATGAAGGGCACATGGAAGTTACTGATGTTATCAAGTTTGTTGCTGATCATGGAAGCAACTCTCATCATCTTGTCCATGAGAAAGGTAGTTATTTATGAACGGGGTACGTTAAAACTAATGCAAATGCAGAAGGAACCTTTTATATTTTATCACCTTTTATGTTCCTTTTCTTTAAAGCTTCTGATGCAAATTTGCTTGCTTGATGATGCTCTGTGTTGTGTTTCGTTTTGTTTCTGTTTTCCCATCTTTGTGATCATTTTGTTCATGTATTTTCATCTAAAAACATACAGAAACTGATTCTAGCATGTGATGGACTCCTAACTTGTCGACTCATGAAAAAATATACAAGAAAACGAAAATTTTATTGATGAAAGATGTAAAGTGTTTGGTTAAACTGTACAATGCTCAATTACTATGTGAATAACCAAAGTAGAACTCAAATTAAGCCCTAATGGAATTACTAAGTTGAAACAACACGGCGGAGTAATACAAACAAAAAGGCGTACTAGATGACATGGTTTTCTAGGCAATAAATTAAAGCTCACTTGATCGGAGATACTCTGCATGACAGGCATAACAAAATTTGGCGGTACTTTTAACTCATTCTTGATTTCTCAGTTGCTACTGTTGCACACTGGATTCTTTTTTTTTTTTAGTTTGAATATGTAGATTTATTTTCTCGCTGTTATGTGATTTGGGCATCATGCTATTTTGTCTATTTCTCTATCCTTTAAGAACTGTTTATCTTTCAAACCTTTGGATTGATGTTTTTTACTGAATGGTAAAATCATTTTATGTAGTAAGACTATCTTATAGAAATGGAGAGTTTGCAGAGGGGGTGCCGATCTAGTAACTATGTCTTTGTTTTCTCTTGATGGTGTTTACCACCTGATTTATTTAAAAAATCATCTAAAAAGGGGGGGGAAGGAATCAAAATTCTGTTTGGGACTGCGCAATTTTCAATACAAAACAGGAAAAAGTCTTGAATTATCACGTGCAACATTCTTATCTGTGACAATGATATAACTCTCTCTCTCTCTCTACCTGTCTCTTTTTGTTCCTACAGTATTCCACGATGTTCCCTTTGTCTTTGGGCCTGATTCGTTGTGCTTTATGGTCCTCCCCTTTTTGTTTTTTTTGTTTGGTGCAATAATAAGACATTGTTTTCAACTCTGTCTGCTACTTTTTTAGGAATCCTGTGGTCTGTAGATAGAAAGGAGAAAAGGAAACAAAATTCATATGGTACTGCTTCATTAACCGACAATCACTATGAAGTTGATTCTACAAGGGATAGATTGCATGAAGTGCTATTAGCAAACCAGACACCTAAAAGAGTGGTCAAACACAACAAGCTCAAGTCTCACAAATCAAAAGGCTCGCACGGATCAGCTTCTCAAGTGGTGGCTGGTTCCATCCTTATTGCTACTGATAAGCTTCTAAACACAGAGCCATTTGGTAAATCGAAAATTCTCCTTGTCAAGGCGGATAAAAGTTCTGGGTTTCTAGGTCTGATTATCAACAAGCATGTGAGATGGGATGCTTTGGATGAGCTGGAAGAAGGGCTGCAGATGTTAACGGAGGCTCCTCTGTCCTTTGGAGGGCCACTCGTGCAACGTGGAATGATTCTTGTTGCTTTAACTCGCAGAGCTATGGAAGATCAGTATCCTCAAGTTTTACCAGGTATCTACTATCTTGATCAATCAGCCACATATCGCACAATCGGAGAGTTAAAGTCCGGGAATCAATCTATCACTGACTACTGGTTTTTCTTGGGGTACTCGAGTTGGGGTTGGGAGCAGCTATTTGATGAAATTGCTGAGAGAGCTTGGAATATAAGTGATGATAGTATGACACATTTTGCTTGGCCATGAGCTTAAGGTCTCATTTAACCCCATATATATATATATATATATATATAGGTTTTCTTGTCGGACACAACATTTTGCAAGATGAGGAAAGTACTAAGAATGATGGAGAAAATAGGCCAGCAAACATGAGCGTTTTATATGCATGTAATATTAAGCTGCAGTTGGTTTTCTTCAAATTTGGGTATTAAAGTGTCCGACATTTTTGTGTCTTTAATTTAACATACGCATATCATGTTCACTAACTTATTAACAGGAATATTGGAACAAGTGTTATTATATGGATACTTGGCATAATTCCGTTAGTGGTTACAGGATATATATGACCACCGTAACTGCATAATTCCATAAGTTTAAGATTCCTTTCAATGCTTTTTTAGGACCCAAAAAGCATCATATTAAACAACAACCATATCTATTTCCTGACCTGGATTTTTAAATCTTTTAATTTTTGGTTGAATTTATCAAATTCTTCTAATACTTGGTAGGAATTCGCATCTTGGATGAAACAGTTACGTCGTTGTAATTTGAGTAAATTATGTTGCTCAAACTCTTCTTGTTGCAAGTCAAATTGTGTATGTGCCAACTTTATTGAATGTGGACCCACATATAATACATTGTCACTATTCCCCGATCTAAATCTTCCTGATGGGAAGATGCCTCGTTAAAACCTTATTTGGTGGAAAAAACCCAATGGGAAAAAACCCAAATAAGGAAAAAGAGTGCATGATCTGGGGTTCTCTAAATTTCTGTTGCAGCCACCAATCGAAGTCTTCCTTCTTGATGCAAAGCTAACTTAAGCGGCACTTGGTTTTCTTCCCTGAAGATATGCAACATCACCCGATCAGTAATTTATTCAGATGCTAATTAATTAGAACACAATAATAATAATAATCAGAAAAGTTTCAAGGTTCTAAAGAATTAATGCTAACTTCTAAGTAACAAAGGTTAATTTTATGAGCATATTCGAACCTTGTTTTTAATGGATTGCACTCAATAGCGGATCTTGTAGCGATGGCGATTCCTGCTAGAAACTTGGTTAGGTAAGTCCTTTGGATCAAGAACCTTTATGAGCTTCCGTTTCTTGTCCTCCGCTTGATACGAGTCATGAAGACGTCGTTTTGTGGACTCTAGCTTTGATCGCATTAAGCCTTCATCCTCGCGAATTTTGCTCAACATGGTTGCCTTGTTTCTGCCACTACTTTCACAAGGTTTCTTCTCGGCTCGTGTCGCTTTCGTCACTAGTTTTCGCTTCGAACCATTAGTACCAATTTCGGTGACCAATTTTGGATCTTGGCTATCTTGATATTCATCAATATTCTTGACTGATAACTCCTCCTTTCCGCTTTTCGCAACGTCGGTGGAGACTCGAGAGATATAATGAGTACGGTGGTCATCAGATAGATTTTCCTCAATGAGCTTCTTGTTGTCATTGCTGATGGGACATTGGTAAGCGACCGAGAGGTCGACGCTCGGCTGCCGGCAAAGCTCTATCGCCATGATCAGAAATACCCACAGTCCTCCTTTTATAGCAGAGGAATAAAATGTTGAATATCAATATGAAGCGATGGGGAGTAGTGCATACGTAGTAGAATACATTTAGGAAAGAATTGTAGCGTGTCTAATAGCTAGGGCATTTGGAATAGATGTACATTATAATTTACAAAGTACAACTTGCATGCAATCATGCGTATCCAACTAGGAGTAGGAGCAGGATGACTTCTTTTTATTTATTTTTTTATTTTTATTTTTTTTTTTACAATTCTTGGTCATAGTTTTTGTGAAAATTACATGAAAATAATAATCTGAATACGTTATAAGTAACCACTGTCCTCCTACAATGAGATAGTACTCGGCATAATTTCATTAAATAAATGTCGTTGATAATTGAAAAACAAGCATTTAGCATTCCTTCAAGTTCAGAGCAAAAACAAGAGGTATTCCTTCAAGCACCAACTCTTTAGGTTTCTCAAAAGACAAAGATTGAAAAAAATAAAATAAAAAATTAAAACTAAAAATAAAAACATAAACGCACGCACATACGTTCAAAAAAATGTTAGACAAGAAAAAGGGCAACAATTTGTACGTTTGGGAAGTCTTACTAATCAATCTCCCTGGTTGTGCGTTTCAAAGCGAGAAGCTACAGTTTGTAATCTTGAAGTACAGATTGGAGTAATCACAATCCTGGAATGAAAGGATATGGAGAGCGAAAGTAGAAGAATTTGAAGGCAGAAGTGTTGTCTTATGTAGGCCTGGCTACTACGTACTTCTAATTCAAATGGGAGTATGATACATACATTACATATATATATATTCACGAATTATGTGCATGCATGCAATCACGTATTCTACTAGGAGTAGGACTATATATGTATATATATATATATATACATATAAATATTCATAAATTATGTGCATGCAATCACGTATCCTTTTAGGAGTAGGACTAGGAGTCTTAAGAGATATGTGCGGATAGATAGGCTAATTATAACGTTGTGACTTGTGGGAAACGTTAGGAGAGTTTCAGAATACTGTTTTTTTTTTTTTTTTTTTTTTTTTTTTTTTTGGTTATATTTTTTTTAAATAATAGTTATAGGTCATAATTTTTGTAAATAATAATCTAAATAATCAGCGGCCATTCTCACGTGACCTTTAATACTCTCTGCATAAACTTAAAACGAAGCCTATCAATTATCAAGGGGAAGATTGAGTTTATAGTTTTCATGTGATGCGGGTTATACGATTGATTTTAGTGTAGGCTAACCATAATATAAAAATATAATGTATACTTACATAATATAAAAATTTTAAAATGTAGAAAAATTAAGTGGGGCTTTAAGTCTCCATTGGAGCTTGGTTTTTCATACGTATATATACTCAAATGAGTTTTCTATTTGACTTGTTCTGATTAAAATATATTCTTTCGATACCTTGACTCTTTTTTTGGGGGCTTTCTATTTGATTTAAATATACGTATATATACACACTTGGTTGTTTTTGGGTCAAGTTTTGAACGATTTTGTGAGTGAACATGAACAAATGTTGTGCAACCAAAGATTTTAAGGGAAACAGAGGAGAAAGATCGAAACATTGGGTAGGTTTGTAGAAGAACATATATACATAGGGGTTTTGAACTGGAGGATTTTTGATGGCATACGGTTTATAAGATGAGAGGTTGTTAAGATGGCTTCTCTCCGAAGATATTTTAGAACCTACATTGTGAACATTAGGGCTCTAGCAACTTCAAGTAAATGACGATTTTTTCTTTTTGCTACACCATTTTACTGTGGTGTATCAGTGCAAGAACTCTAATGAATGATACCATTAGTTGCTAGATAATGATACCATTAGTTGCTAGATAATCACCTAAGATGGATTTGTAATACTCTGTTCCATTGCCGGTCCTTAAGACTCTAACTGAGGTTTGAAATTGATTTTTTATCATGGAGTGAAAATTTTGAAAGATTTTTGAAACCTCAGTTTTTTCTTTAAAAAGATAGACCCAACATACTCTGGTATGATCATCGATAAACGTAATAAACCATCTAGTTCCCGTGATATTTTTTACACGAGAAGGCCCCCATATGTCACTATGAATTAAGGTGAATGGATGAGACTCTATGTATGGTTTGGTTGGATATGATGTACATGTGTATTTGGCCAATTGACAAATGTCACAATGAAAGGATCTGAGATTTTTATTAATGAATAAATCTAGAAACAAACGTTTGAGATAATGAAAATTGGGGTGGCCTAACCTACGATGCCACATCATTACATCTTTATTGGAAGTAGAAGAAATATTATGAGCTATTGTAGCCTGTTTATCCACATGTTCATCATTCTCAAAAGTAGTAGAGTTTGCCATCCTCCTTAGCAATGCCAATCATCTTCTCCGATCCCTGCTCCTGTATTTGACAAGAAGTAACAAAAAAATTAGCAGTGCAATTAAGGTCATGAGTGAGCTTGCTAATAGACACCAGGTTACATGCTAATTTTGGAACATGGAGTACATAATGTAGCACAAGTGTGTCGAACAAGCGGATAAATCCTTTTCCAGCAACATAAGAGAAGGTTCCATCTGCTATTTTTTCTCTTGAGCTCCCATGGCATGGAGTATAGGAGTAAAAAAGAGATGAGTTAAATAGTAGATTTTAAAATTAAATTATTTAAATAGTAGATTTTAAAATTATTTGAAATAAATAATAGTTTTTGCGGTAATTGACGGTAAATGATTCATATACGATTGGTAAAAAATAACTTACGTGGAAAAAAACCTTTATTTATGTGAAAAAAATTCTTTTTACCAATCGTAAAAAGAAAAGGATAAATTTTATTTTTTCCTCAAAATTTTAGTTTCTGTGTCACATTGCTCCCCCAACTTTAAAAATTAGTCTGCGCACCCCCCTGAATTTTAAAACGTTATTAACTTTGCCCATTCTGTTTATTTAACTAACGGATTTGATGGCGTGACAATTATTGCAGGGGTAGTTTAATGAATTATTTGCATAAATGCCTCATGAAGTATGTAATCATATTTCAAAATGTCACATGATCTATTAAAACACATCAAAATGCTCAAAATGAAAAATTTACGTGAAAAAATATTTTTACTAAATGTAAATACACTATTTATGCGGTAAATAATTCATTTACTATATAAACTATTATTTATTTTAAATAGTTTAAAAATATACTATTTATTTAATTTAGTTTAAAAAATTTACTATCTACTACATTCTCCTTAAATAGTAAACCACTCACGCGGCTTCTACACAACTGTTCCCCAACTAGTTAGTAGGACATGAATAATGAGAATAAATCATCATTACTCACATAAATCATGTTCTAATAAAGAGGTCTATATAGGTTCCATCTAATAAGAATCACCTATATGAATAGTTGGACATGAGAGTTTGAGCGATCTTACTTTATTGAGTAAATTGCATTTTTGCACCTAAGACTTTTTTTTTTGTGCCTAATAGATCCAAAGTTTAAACTTTAATTAATAAAATGCATGCTAAATTTTAAAATTAGTTGTACCACGTGCAATTTTTATCTTAGCACAACGCCATTAACTATTGGACTTTAATTACTGCTGATTTCAAAGTTTATGGCTATTTTGTAAAAATTAAAAATGTAGAGTCTATTATATTAAAAACAAACAAATTTGGGGTTGTTAATAGTGCAATTTACTCCATTTTTATTTCTCACTCACTCAACTCAGCCTGTTGTTGTTGGGGTGGGAGGGATTTCCATCTCTCATTTCTTCGCTCATCCAAAACCCAATTGCGAAATTTCGACATCCATGGCTGCAGCTTTCTCCTTCGCCCAAGTCCTTCGCTTCTCCAGTACACCATTCTCTCTCCAAACAAATAGAAATACTCTGAGAAGTTTCACTCTCTTTCGACCTTTCTCCACTGCGTCTTCTTCTTCTTCTTCTTCTTCTTATTCAGTCATTTCTCCTCATAAGCTTCAGAGAGAGAAATGGAGGCAGCCAGTGGTTTCAGTGCTCGAGCTTGGCGGCGTCAAGATTGCTAGAGATGGTAACTTTTCTGCTTTTCTCATGTCGATTCGTCCAATTTCTCAAATTTAAATTTCGAGTTTCTTGGTTTGTTTCTTTTTTTTTCGATCTTTGTTTGGTTTCTGAGAAAATGAGAGGGAAAGGAAACGACTGTGCAGATTTTTATGGAAAATACTGGATTTTTAATACAAATTTTAATGCTTTTTTATTTTTATTTTTATTTTTCTCATAATACATGTCGCCAGTGAAAAGGAAGTGCTAGCTGACATTGCTTACAACAAACTTTGTAAAGAAGACAAGAAAAGCACGATAAAGTACGGAACTTTACTTTTGAAAATTGAGTTTTTACAGTTGAGTAATTTAGTTCTAACTTCTTTGGAAAGTCTGAATATGTATTTGGCAATAAGACAGAGAATTCAGAATTATTGATTCTTCTAGACATGGTTGGAATTCCAAATGTTGATCAAACAAGTGATTACATGATCTGGGAGAAATTTATCGGAAAGCAAACAAATTAGAAATTCCATCCAAGGCTTTAGAGACTTCAGAACTGTTTGTTTATGAGTGAATTTCTTATGTATTTGTTTGTATTTTCATGCTCAATCGCTTATGATACTTATGGAAATTCCTGTTTTCCCCTTATATCTAGTTACCATTTCATGTAGCATCTTTCTACACTGGTATTGTTGGAACGGTTGACAACCATTTTCAAAGCATTTTTTTCTTAGTTCAAAATTTTCACATCTTTCCACCTTTCAGTGGAAAAGAAAAATCAATCGCTTATGATACTTATGGAAATTCCTGGTTTTCCCCTTATATCTAGTTACCATTTCTACACCAGTATTGTTGGAACGGTTGACAACCATTTTCGAAGCATTTTTTTTTCTTAGTTCAAAATTTTCACATCTTTACACCTTTCAGTGGAAAAAAAAAAGTAGTTTTTTTTTTTTTTTAAACCGTTCATTTCTTATATTTATTTGGATTATTGCTTTTGTAGATGTGGTTAGGGATGATCCTACGAATAATGTTCCGGATACAATTTTTGCTAAACTTGGAATGCAACTGCACAAAAGAGAAAAGCACCCGATTGGAATTCTGAAGAATGCAATATTCGAGTACTTTGATACCAATTACTCCAACAAGTTTGATAAATTTGATGACCTGTGTCCACTGGTTTCTGTAAAACAGGTAGGTCAAGGATCAGTGAACGTTTGGCTAGAGTTTTGGCCCTGTGAGGGCTACGCTCAAGTTGCCAACTTGGGCTCTGTATGCCTTGCAGAATGGATAGCCTTTCCTCTATAAAATATTTCAGTATTTGTATTTACATATGTATGTACTAACATTGTCAAAGAATTTAATGCTTATGTTGCTCGGTCTAAATATATACTTATTGTATATTCTAGTTTTTTGCTGCTTTGAACATTGGAAAACTTTTGGGCCATATATTTAATTTAATCAGCTCCCTAATATTAGTTCGCATATTTTAATTAACCAATGCAAGCATAGCCTCGTTGCTTTGGTGAACGTAGCGTTGTCTGTCTTTTTGGTATGTCCATTTGTTAGGAAAGGTTTAGGGTTAAGTGAATGAGTATCCTGACTAGTAGAATAGATTTTATTGATCTTGTTATTGTTGTTGATGTTGTTGTTGTTGGTGGCAAGGATTGGTTCCTATGTGGCACATTGTCAAAAAGTTAAGTTTTATCTATTGAAAAGAGGAAGTTTGGGGATCTTTGAAGATGTGCAGCAAGGTGATGAATTTGGGTTTCTCAGATCTTTTATAATGAACAGGAAGGTCATGAAGTTTGTGGGTTAGGATACAGTTTTGGTCCTTTGGGTTTGTCTTTTGGCATCCGCTGGAAAGGAGTTCAGGAACTTTATTGAATTGTTCTCTGGAACTTGCTGTTATTTGTTTGACCTTTTTCAGGCTTAGGTACTTCTGTGCCCCTCTGAATTGTTTTTAAGTTTACCATCACAATAATACTCTTGCTTTTGAATGATACAGAAAATGTGGTTGATGGATTGGAGAGAAAGAAATTATCTATTTTTTATGTCCCAAAATCCAAAATGAATTTCAAGTTACTTTAGTCTTCCAAGAACTATAATTTTCTAGATATTATGTTTTTGAAATAAGATTTTGTTGACTGGTTGTTTTGATTAGTTGACTGTAATTGCCCTTATACTCTCATCTTTATTAACAACGTACCCTTTTGGAGAGCACAAGTGTAGATAGGTATTTAGTTATCCTTTTTTTTTTTTTTTTGTAATGGTAAACCTACTCCTTGCAGAACTTCGATGACGTACTTGTTCCTGAGGATCACGTGAGCCGAAGTTATAATGATACGTACTATATTGACTCCCAAACTGTTTTGAGGTGCCATACAAGTGCTCATCAGGCGGAGTTGTTGAGAGGACACACCCATTTCCTTGTTACAGGGGATGTCTATCGTAGGGACTCCATTGACTCAACTCACTACCCTGTTTTTCATCAGGTTTTCTACTATTTCCAATCCGAATTTTATGGTATTTAGCTTCTATTTTCAGTGCAGTACAGTGAACAGGTTTTCTTATATACTTTTCGGCTAACACTCGTGTGACATTGGATGGACATGATTCTTGCATGTTGTTAAAGGTCATTTTGGAGACCAGTACAATAAATACTTTTAAATTCAGCCATTAGTTTCCTTTGTCTGACGTCAAAAAGAGATTTGGGATTTATTTTTTTTATTCTTTATTTAACAAGATCCCTGTGCAGAGAAATATAATGTTTCGTTCAGCATGCTTGGTTAATTTATAGGCGTTGTAAAAATCTCGAGACTTTCTTGGATTTGAGTTTGTGGTGTTCCCTTCTCACATACTATCCGTCTGGAGCCTTGAGCTTGTAAGGAAAATTGTCGGGAAGAAGGATTACAAAGATAAATCATTGTAGAAAAAGTTTTAGGGAGTTGAGCAGCTTAAGATTTGAGCATCTTTCCTGTGAAACAACCAAGTGGCCTTCTGTGCTCTCCCCTTCCTCTTTTTGTTGCACTCCTATCCTTTGGTATCATACTATCTCTGTAGCATACTATCATATAATGAAAAATGTCTATCAAGTCTTTGTGGCAGGGGCTTTCCCTTTTTCCTGTCCCAATCAAGGCCGCCAAGATAACCCTTCTATTCAAGATAAAGTCTCCAATAATCTAGTACCAACTGCTGCAGAAAATTTCCTGCTTTCTGTTTCCTTTGGCATTCATACCATTTTCTGCTCTTTTCCTTTAAGCATGGACAGAAGCTGCAGGAAAAAGCCAACCCCGACCAGTTGTAGGGGAAAAAAAAAAAACTACGAAAGAGGATGTTGTTTCCAATAACAAGTACTTTTGGGGCCATTTACTAAGAAATTTTGTTGTCAAAATTTTTTTAAAAGGACTTAAGGGAAGAAACTTCTATCATAAGCTGGGTCCTAGTCTTTCATACCATACTTTTTTTCTTCACTAGAGCAAAAACTAGATTTTTTACTAGTCCTTACTATATCCATTTGGTATCAACGAAAGAATTTACTAGTCCTTACTATATCCATTTGGTATCAACGAAAGAATTTATTCTTCCTTATATAGTTTTATCACCATGCTTCAGGGATAACTATGTCATGAATATATGAAGCCCATGAAAAAGATGATTCATTGAAGCTTGAGAACTGCAGCAAAGACTGTTATCCTAAATGCTCTTGAAATTGCTAATGTTGTTTGGAATTTCACCCAAGAAACTCTAAGGCGAGAATCATCACTTTTTGTACATGCATGGTGTATCATAGAGAACAAGAACGTAATCTTCGAGGCAATTTTATTTTGTTTTATTTTTTGTGTTAGAAAACAGAGTGTGATATAAAAAGACTAAAGAAAGTACACAAACAGAAAATGGGAAGTCCTAAGGAAAAAAATGCAACAACCTGAAAGCAACAGAACCCCTAAGAAACTGAAAAATAAGCTCCTAAAATGCATCCTTCTAGCTTGATCAATAAAATGAAAAATTAGTAAATCCATGAATTCCTTGGAGAAGCCCACAAAGAACTAGTAGATTATAAACATCTTGACGAAAGGTTCTTTATTGCTTTGAATTTTTTCTTAGTCATTATGCGCATGTTTGTTTCAACAACTCAAACTGTTGTTTAGGATTTAAACGTTAGTTTAGGATTCAAACTGGTGTTTGGGAGAGGGAAATTCAATAACAATTCAAACCATTAACAATGGTTCAAGGACAACTCAAATTATTGTTTTTAGAATTCACCTCCTCCCCTAAATTCTAACAATTTGAATTGTTGTCAACAGTCCAATAGTTCCAGATTCTACTTTTTCTCTCTATTCAATTTCAATCTTAAAAAATGTCATAATTCCGTCGTTTTAATTCCGATTGAGATGATTTTTTTTAATGTGTTCATAATGAAGAGAGGAACAAATCCCCATTCATATTGCATATTTTTAAATGTCATTTATAATGAGATTTTATAAGATTTGTTACAAAACTCTAATGACAGTTTTCAATACTTTATCCCAACAAAGTTCGGATTTTATTCCCAATTCAAATTATAATTTATTTGCATATCCAAACAACAGTTCGGATCACAGTTTGAATCACCACAATTCAGATTTTACAGTTCTACTTAAAAAGGTTCAAATCTCTACAATTTGAGTTGTTGAACCAAACAAGCGTTATGATGTTCCGCTCTAATATATTGTATGCATATTATTTTGTTTTGTTATTGTGTAATTCTGAGCTGCCTATGTTGAATCGTTCGTGTAGGAAATATGCTACATTTTAGACTTTATAGATTTTCACTATGGCAAGTGGGCTTGTTGCTCTCTGTCTTTCTCCTCTTTATCAGCACTGTTTATGATTCTTTTTTTCTTTTCATATCTTTTATTATGTCCGCTGAAAATTAGGTGGAGTTCGTCCCCACAAGAGCATCTTCATAAACCTCATTACTTATTTATTTATTTATATTTATTTGTTTGTTTTTTTATTTATTTGTATTGTAAGAGCTCTTTCATGCCAAAATGAAACCTTGAACTCCCAAACATATTTGACAAAAGCCTTAAAATAGTAACTTTCAAGAATTTTCCGCAACTTCATTGGAGCATCCCCACCAACTGTCATTATCTTGTTTGATATATTTGTTTCTTGCTCACAGATGGAGGGTGTTCGGGTCTTTTCTCCAAATGACTGGGATGGATCGGGGATGGATGCCACATCTTTTGCAGCTAGAGACTTAAAGAAGTGCCTTGAGGGTTTGGCACGCCACTTATTTGGTAAATTTAAAATGAAATCTCGTTGTGGACATGACATAAATGTAGCAGGTGTTGCCATAGCGAACATAGATGGGACTGGCAGTTCATCTTTTGGAAAAGACAACAGAGAATTCTATTTAACATCAGTAATTGTGGCAAAATGACGCAGAGAAGGGATCATGCAATCTTTTAGTATATTTGGAAAGCATTTTTTTTATTTGCCTGACTAGTTTTGAAAATTTTTTCTGCTCATGACTTGATAAAAATTATAATTTTAATCTGTCTAAAAATTTTCTTTACATGTCATAGAATATGTTTTATTATTATTATTATTATTATTCACTTCTTACCCATTAGTCAATGGTGTTAAAATTTTCAGGTTCTGTGGAAATGCGGTGGATTGATACATATTTTCCATTCACCAATCCCTCATTTGAACTTGAGATTTTTTTTCAGGTATGTTGGTAGTTTTGACTATTTATTTTCGTAAATTGGCATCACATTGCAGTTTTCTTTAATCTTTTCTTTGTCTGAGTAATTTTTTCAATCTGCAAGCTATCTTCCTCCAGAACTTTGCTCCTGATTTTCCTTATGCAGCGGCATTTGTTAGATATTATTTTGTCCTCAGTGGAGTTAAACTTATTCGTCAAAGTCAAGTTTGTGTATTTTTAACTTTAATGCTCCTCTGTCTGAACTTTGACGTGAATGGTGCAGAAACTAAGAATCACATTGATATGAGTTTTGCAACTTTTGAAAATGGTATGTATTATACGAAGACAATAATGACAAAATAGCTGCACTGTGATGATGGTTTTCAATTCGCAGATACAAGGTTGCAAAATTACTGTCGGAAAGTGTATTTGTATTTCAAAGTTTCTATATTTTTTCAATTTGAGCATCATTAAAAGAATTAATTAGTTCATGTTGGAACCTGTTTAGTTGTATGGCAGTATGAGTAACTTGTGACTTATTAGTTATTGACATCCATCAAACACGATACTGTTTGCAGGAACTCAAACAAATTATAAACATAAAACAACCATAAGATCTTTTTTAAGAATACAATTCTTGTTGAAGCTAGTCAGTGAAGTTGACATTTTTATGCGTCTCCTCCCTTCTTTACCCGCTTCATCCTTTGTGATCTACGTTATTAAGCTGGTACATTTAATCTCTCTCACTTTCTCTATGAACACACACTTTTTTGTAACTGTTTCACCTGGCAAGACCTGTCTCCTTCTTTGGAAGTCCATCAAAAGACCTACTGTCTACCAAAAACTATTCCAGGACCAGATGGATGATCAGAAATTAGCATGTTTTGATCTCCATTATCTGACTCTCAGATTCAGCTAGGTTTTTAACTGATATGACTAGATTTATAGAGGAAAAAATGATAATTTTAAGTTCTGATTGTTGAAATGAGTAAATATGTGTCCCACTTGGTATTCACCATAGAAAACTTGCATAAAATATTCCATTTTGGAAGGACTGCTAGATCTACTGTTTTTTAACCTGCGCTTATATTTATTATTTTACCTTCAGGAGAAGTGGTTAGAGGTTTTGGGATGTGGTGTGACAGAGCAAGAAATATTAAGACGAAGTGGCAAAGAAAATAATGTTGCTTGGGCTTTTGGGCTTGGGTTGGAGCGGCTAGCAATGATTCTATTTGATATTCCGGACATACGCCTATTTTGGTCAAGTGACGAGCGGTTTACGTCTCAGGTAGTTCCTGAATCTACTTTTTGTACCTGATATTTCCTCCACTCCATGTAATTCTTCTTTTCTTTTAATTCTACTGAAAAAAAAAAAAAAAAAAAAAAAAAAAATTCAGCCTGTGCAAAAGATTAAAATCTCTGGTGTGCGTGTGATAATCTAATTTATTACTTTTGGTGTACAGTTTTCCTCTGGCCAGCTGGGTGTCAAATATAAGCCATTATCCAAGGTATTATCTGCTAGGAAACACAAACTTTGTGCATATCTTTTGATATATTCATTTGAATGACGTGATTTTAAAGGGAAAAGGATTCAAACAGTCAAAATCCTTCAGTTGCAAAATAAAATAGGACCATTTAAATTGGGATTCGGCTGATGAAGGGTTCGAGTTTTTTTTTTTAATTTTTTTTTTAATTTTTATTATTACTCGTTTCTCATTCATTGAGTTCTTATGTTTTTTGGCTATTGGTCCCAAAGTCTGTGGAGTTGAGAAGTAAAATGGGGGACTTTGTGGTATGTAACACTTAAAAAACATAAGGGAAAATTACATCATGGTACATGCGTTTTATAAAATTAGTAAATTGGTACCTTAGTGTTTAAATAATACCAGCTCGGTTTCTCGTTTTTTGAAAAAATTCCCTCTGAGTACCTTAAGGCCGTTTTTGGATTAATTGTTTCACATTGCATTGTCTATATTACCATATATGAGAAGTTAGTATAAGCTATATAATACAAGTGTGCCGAATCTTCTTTTCACTAGAATAATGGTATATTTTGGATGACTCAGAGTAATTTCCTTACTGTCAATTAATTGAAGCAAAGGAAGTGATCTGCATTTATTCCTCAACAGAGCATAACTGCTGCTACTCCAGCTAACTGAGGAACTACCTTTCAACTCTTTCTACCTCTCTCCATCCATCCCTCTTTCAATGCCTCCGTCTTGCTCTCTTAATATTCCGCTCTCTCTATTACTCATTGTGTCTCACTCTCAGAAATTCTAATCTGGAGTGTGGACATGTAATTTTATTTCTGTTCTAGTTGATAATAAAATTTTTTTGCTGTACAGTTTCAGATTATGATCTTGATTCCTCTTTTGTATGTGGAAATCACTAGGTGCTATTTTTTCATGCAAAACATTAAAAGAAAAGATGCTAAATAAGGAAGCATTCTCTTCTTATACGCTTTGCTGCAGAAACCTCACTGATTGAACCATTATTGAACTTCTTCTATCCTGAACATATAACGTTGCATGAAATATCTTGCAAAATACTAAATTATCGGCCTTTCCCTTATGCAGTATCCTCCTTGTTTCAAAGATATTAGTTTCTGGATCAATGACTCTTTCACAGAAAATAATTTTTGTGAAGTTGTTAGAGGAGTTGCTGGAGATCTGGTTGAGGAGGTATGTCTTTGTCCATTTTGCCTGTATAAATTTCTTGAGCTACATTCACTGATTAAAAAAGAGAACTTAAATATAACTTATATTAAGAAAGGAATTGATGGAACAAGAGATTTCAGCTGCCTAACTAGCCATCAATCGTTATATTGGCCTAACTTGTAATTTGTTTATAACTTCTTTTTACTCGATTATGGATTACTAATGGAATAAATGATCTACGTAAACCATGCCAAATGAAAATTTGAATTCAATGATTTGGATATGATTAGTGGTTGTCTCGTTCTATCTCTAAAAAAGCCTGCAAGTAGTTGGATTAGTTCTTTATTATCCCTTAGAAAAAATAAAAAATAAAACTGTCTAGGAGCTACAAGGTGAAATTTTGGACCTGAATTCTTGCTTTGTTAATAGTAAAATCGTAGAAGTCCGCCTAGTGATAATCGAGCGGTGAAAACAGTTAGCTTCGGCCCGGCAGGGTCTTGATCCCATCCAAAGGACATTATAAAGCTGAAAAATCTAATTTACTAAATCTTGAAATTCTTCAATTTTTCCAAGGACACTTGGGAGTTTGATAGACAACAAATATTTATTGTATAACTTCGCCAAATATGTTCACTGTTATTTTTGGTCTCTTTCGACTGCCTTCTTTGCATTCCAGGTGAAATTGATAGACAATTTTACAAACAAGAAAGGGATGACAAGTCACTGTTACAGGATAGCATATCGCTCCATGGAACGTTCACTTACAGACGAGGAGATTAATAAGCTACAGGTAATTCATCATATCGGGCTTTATGCGAGTCCTTTGTACTTGTTATCTTTCTTACCCTGAAGATTCAAAAACGCTTAATTTTTCTTGCTTATAATTCTCTGTGCAGTGGGATGTTAGAGACCAGGTGGTGAGCAAGTTGAATGTTGTCGTTAGATAAGAATTTCCTAGTGCCATAGCCGATTCAGCAGCATAAATCATGTAAATTTCTTATCTCTGTTCATTAACATGTTGAGTAACCGCTGATTTCATTTTGGCGTGTTGGCCCCTCCAAAAACACGAGGCAACTTATAAAGTTAAAATAAAGTCTTTCTTAATCTGATAATTATTCATCATTATTGCCATAAATGGGTTTTTAGCATTCTTTGGCTTAGTTTGATAGTGCTGTAGATTTTAGAAAAATTACTTTTAACTGTGTTGAAAGAAGAAGCAGCTGTTACAAAAAGTAGTTGAGTATTTGGTAAACTATAATTATAGTTGTTGTGCTAGTTCCAAAATCAGTGTAATAGCGTTTGGTAAATTATGAGGTTGAATTACTGTAAATAGTTAAAAATTATGACTATATTATATTATACTATAATATAATATAATATATATTTATTATTATATTTAATATAATACAAAAAACTATTATTATATAATATATTATATAACTATAATATGGAATATAATAATATTATTAAAATAATAAACGATTATATTATATTATACTATAAAATAATATATATAATTACAATATAATGTATATTTATTATTATATTTAATATAATACAATAAAACTATTATTAAATAACATATTATATAATTATGATATAGAATATAATAATATTATTAAAATGGTTAATATAATTACAATATTGTAAAACATATTATAATATTACATAA